TTGATGGGACTGAAGTCACTTGGCACTGAAGCAAAAATAAAGTACTTCACAGCAGATAGGAGAATGATTACCAGAGGCTAGAGAGAGTAAAGGAGGGTAAAGAAGTGAGAATCTTTCAACAAAGTTGTAGATTGACAGGAGAAATAGGTTCCAACTTTCTATTGCACAGTAGTGTGACTATAGTTAATGATGCCTTTAATGCTTCAAAATAGCCTATGAGAAGTGATTAATGATTGTCCCAAAAGAAGCTGGTAGAAATTTCAGGTACCAATTGTGTTAATTAAGCTGAAATCATTATTAAATAATATGAATATATATTGAGAAAGTACAAAACTACTTAGAAGAATCCAGGGTGTTTGCCTTGTTTCATCACTGATGCTTACCATAGTAACCATTGGTAATATCCTCAAATCACTTGTAGTTTGTTGGTTTGTTTGTTTGTTTTACAAATACAGTTTTTAACTATAAGATCATTTCCCAACTGCTATGAAAATTGAAATAAATGAACTCTCCTCACTTTCATGAAACATTGTACAATTGACTTTCATGATAAATATGAAGAATTAGTAAGAGATATACCAATACCACATTTTAGATTTTCCTGTGCTAAAGCATCACAAGATACCATATTGATCTCTTTCATCTCTTCTGCTTTGCTGATCTAAGAGGGAACTATTCACCTTTACATGAGTACAGCTTAAGTACAGTTGAGCTGCATCAAGATGAAACTGAAGTTGATCAAGCGACAACAGTGTATTCCTTACTATATACATATACTTTTATTTTTAATTGTGCATTCAATAAACCTTATTCATTTTAAGCATCAAAATTATGTAAAGACAAATTTATGCACACACACGTGTATATGTGTATTCTTGCTGAATGATGAGCAAGCTACTTCGGTCATTGGAAGTGGGTTAGCATTTGTTTTGATATATTATTGCTATATTGTACTTAGTATCACAGTTACATGGTGTTAGATGTCCTAGAATAAATGTGGCATTTCTTTGTGTGCAGCCATGTGGGTGCTGGGACTCTGAAAGAACAGAAAGTGATCTTTACTACAGAACCATTGCTCCAGGCTCCCAATATGTCTCTTCATGAATCCAATTTCAATGACCATATGGTCAAAGGACTATCTTAGTTTTTCTATCATTAAATTGATTGTTTTTACAAGTTTTCTTTGTTGTATGGATATCCTATATCATTCCTTGCACATATATGTTATTTAGTTTGAAAAGACCAAGACCATCTTGAGTATACAACCTGGTGTCCTTATTAAATTAGTTTGCACAATTATAAATAATAACAAATGATATGGAGAATTTGGCATTCTTAAATTGAGAAATTCTCTCTTGGTAGGTTATTAGATCACAGAAACAAATTGAAAAGTAACAAATGACATAGAAACAAATTGAAATACACTCAGAACCATTCATCTTTAATGTAAAACAAAACAAACTACTTATCAAATTGAAAATAACCAAGATGTTTTATTATAAATTGTACTCCTAATCATGCCTAAAAGCTGCTTCACTCTGAGGCCATTATTGGAAATATAAATCAAATGGTTTACCTTAATTTCTAGAAGCAACATCCACAAGTATTTTAGAAATGTAAGAATGCAGTTGATTCATTAATCAAACATAAATTTACAAAGAGAAGTGTATTTATATAATTTTTTGTATATTTTCAGTATAATTAGTTATAAATTAAATCACATTGACTAGATTATTTCTATAATAAAACTTGTTAATAAGAAAATAGAGTACATGCTTTATGATTATATTACAGATTCAGAATATATTCTAACACTTGTGTAAACATTACAAGTCAAAATACAAATCAATGCAGACATTATTTTATTCCAGAAGCAATATGCAATTTACATCCTTTGTGCTGCTTAAATGTCAATAAAGAGCTAAATATGTAAAAGTGAAATGGTACTTCTTTAGATATAATAACTTACAAATAATTAAAATACTTAGGAAAAGAACAGGATCATAAGGAGCATTTATTTTGCATGTCTATAACCATCCTAATGACCTAGAGGTTCAAGTTGATCAAGTGAAGGGTCAAATAAAGCCAAAACATAGTGGCAAACACGTGTTTCATTCACAGATCTCAGCACAGACCTGGCAAAAGAAATGGAAACGTGTGTACTTACAGCACAGAAAAAGCAACTCGCTCTCACCATTGTCATGTGTATAGTTATGAAGTGTCTTAACATACATATAGGAGTTTATCTGAAACAAGGATATTATCAAAAGAATGTTGCTTAGTGTTTATTTTAATTATTCAATTTTTCATCTTTAAGCTGTATATATTAGATAGTACAATTGGAGTGAAATCATTTTTTCATAAGTCTGAATGCATCCACAAGAAACATACTAGTTTCAGTGGATTATTTGTATACCACTTTTTCAAATCAAGTATTTATAATACATCAGTATAATGATATTAATTTAAGATAAAAATTATCTTTGAACTAAAAACCAATTAAATGGTTTTTATCAGCATGGGAATATTTCTTTATTGATGTTTTCTTTCAATCAATTATCACCTAATTGTTTTCAAATTTCTGTTATGTTCCTGAAATAATTTTCCCATGAATATTAGGATTTGAAATATTAGGAGACTGAATAATGTATTTATAATTAGGGACAAATTATATATATATATATTATATGCATACATATATATACATACATACATACATATATAGTGTGTGTGTATGTATATACATATGTATACCAGTCCATTTATATTTTGTACCACCCAGTAAAACTTTGTTTAGCCCCATCATAATCATAATCTATGATACAATAGCCATTACCTGGCTGCCTTAACTGATATTTTTTATTTTTTCTTGTCATTTTATTCTATTTACTGTTATTATTTGTATCTGTGTCTTTATGATGTGTGTGTAAGAGGGTCTGAGTGTGTGTGTGTGTACATTTCCTCACATATGCAGATACGTGCATATCAAACCTTGAATGGATTTTATCAGGTGTTTGGGAGTCAACTTTCTCTTTCTAACATGTAATCCTGATATATCACTAAAGCCCTTATCATTAGAGCTACCTCATCAGCCTTTAAAGGATGTTTCTAATGGTGAAAACTGCACTTTGCCATGATGTCCTAAAATTTTCATTCGATTAATTAATAGGTAAAATAAACTAATTGTAGACAACCTGTATCTTCTAGTGAAAATTTCTTCTCTGGAGAAAGAATGTTGCTCTCATCAGGACAACTTCTAAGATGTCCTGATCACGACTTTCCCAGTCCACAGCACCTGAGCATTAAACTCTATCACTAGTTAGCAGTTCTGAAATTGACGAAATCTGCTACCTATAAGAAAGTTGCTGGAGTAAACAGCACCTTCGGATTCTCCCATACACAAAGCAGACTTACTGAGTGTGGGTACTAAAATCAACACATTTCCTTAATGGAAGATTTAAATTGATTGTGATGTATTGATACAGTTGCATATATTAACTAAAATGCTGCTGAACAAGAAGAAATTAATGGTTTCTAAAAGTAACTTTTGAAGCATTGAGGGAGAAAATCTATTAAGTCACTAGTACTCTCTTTAATTGAATGAGTCTTTAAAGGACAGGCATGAACTATGCACCTTTGGGGCTAAATTCCATGCCCACATAATCGAGTGCATTGAAAGGAACTGTAGACAAGCATTCAGATTTAAAGACTTGGTTATTATACTTACAGTCAAGACTGTAGTATGTGCAAATCAGTCTAGGTAACTGAACAACACAGTAGTTTATTAACAGAATATCAATTTGTGGAGTTTTCTTTCATTCTATGCCTGAGAAACAAACATTACTTTAACTTAATAGTGTACTTAAATGACAAAGACATATTGGCATAGGCAATAATAGATATTTTCTTCTAATTTTGTTAGAATTTTCCTGACGTTTCATTAATACATGCACTTTTTGTTGAGGAAGACACTGCAGACATGAAGGATGAGAAAAGATCCTAGAATTAAATCAGGAGACCCTAGTGTAGGCAGTACTTTGAGGTTTGCTCTACATTCAGGAAGGGCAATGATTTAAAGATGCATTTGACTGGATTGCCCCTCTGTTTCTTCAATGATAGGAATTACTTGATATTGAACAAATAGTTCAGCAATTAACAGAGCTTGCTTTATCTATAAGAGTCAAGTTCAGCTCCTACCTCCCACGTTAGGTTCCTGTCACTACAGTATCCAGGGTATTCAAACCTTGTTGCCTTGACTACAAGATCTGAATTAAGAACCTGGATTAAGAACAGTATCTTTAATGCCATTTTCTCCTAAAATTCTTTAATACTTGTTTTTTTTTTTCCTTCTTGTTCTGAACACTGCAAAGACATAGAGGGTATTTATACTAAAAGCATGGCTCTCCACTTACAGATTCCTGATGTATAGCTAAAAGCAGGATAAAGCTTGATAGCTCTACCTTCAATTTTTATCTGTCTTCCTTGCCTTCAATTTGGGTGCAATTCCAGGCTACTCTGCACACAGGCATGTTAATCACTTAAGGAATGCTCAAGCATTCATCTCCACCTTTCAACGCCAAATGAAAGAAAAACTAAGGGATTCTCATTTATCTTTCTAGTTAGCACGAAGGTGATGGATTTCTTTCCTAAATTATCACGTGTCTTACTTTATCCCCCACTTCCCAATTGCTCTCCCAGTCCCTGTTTTCTTCTTTATTACAAGTAGTTCCCTTCCTACTTTTACAGATGATTTTATGTCTATATGTCTATATTTTAAATCTAGACTTTGCATATAAATGAAAACATGTAGTATTTCTCTTTCTCAGTTTTAGACGTCTCCTCTCTAGCATTTTGCCTTCTACTTACATGTCAAATATGCCTATATCATGAACCACCTTTCGTGGTGACTTCTGTTGCTATCCCAGCTGTGGCAAGTTCGTTTCAAGGTAGGGGAATGGGATTAGAAACATTAGGTAGGAAGGACAGAGATTTAAAAGGTTGAATATTGAGTGTCCTGAGAGGTCAGATTGCTGTCAGACATGGCTGCTGGGCATGGACACGGGCACGGGCATGGGCATGGCCATGATAAACTGGTACTTCCAGATCACACACAGTGGAAAATAGAAGGGACACCGCTAGAGACAGTGCAGAGGAAGCTGGCTGCCCGGGGACTGACAGACCCGTGGGCTCGCAATGAGGCTTGGCGATGCATGGGTAGCTTTGCGGAGAACATCTCCTTCTTGAGTGTGCTGTTCAAAGGGTTCAAGTGGGGATTTGCTGCGTTTGTGGTCATGGTAGGGGCTGAGTATTTCCTGGCCTCCCAGAACGGTGATAAGAAACAGCACTGAAGGCAGCACCTGGGATCATCTCTTTCCTCTCTCTAGCTCCTTGGCTAAATTGGCTAAATGTTTGTCCTTGAAAGAATGGCTTAATAAAGTAAAGAAAGAATAAAAGAGAAACACAAAGCCTACAATAGTACCAGGAGAGCAACGCAGTCCTTCCTGCATATTGAGTTCTGAGTTCTGAGTTCACTCGTGTTTATTTTTCATACACTTTAATACCCCAATGCAAAATGGGGGAAGAAGGTAAAAGACTGTTGTAACATGACGCAAAGAACAATCAGGACAGATACTTGTTTCAGTATTTGAGATACCAAGCCACTAATTCCTGAGAAAAGTATTTGATGTCTGGGGGCAGTGAACACACCCTAGATCAAGTCTTCTAAAGGTAGCCACTCCCTAGGACAAACTTCTTATTTTAAAAGAAGAAGCAGAAGTATGCTTCATTTCTCTGACCTGTGGTCAAGGTGGAGCAGATCTGTCCATTTGGGTCATCTTAATCTCCAAAGCACCAAGTAATCACACCCTAGGTCAGGATATCTTGTTTTGTAGTCACACTTTGTTGTCAACAACTTTGAAAGAGCAAAAATAAGGTCAAGACTCTCTGACCTTCAGACAAGGTAGAATAGGCTCACATTTTTGGGTCTCCACATGCTTATACAGTTGTCTTCTCTCCAATTTGTGCTTTTGATATCTTTGTCACAAGTGTGTAGCTGAAATGTATGGTTATATATAAGAGTCATATATCTACACCATTAGTCTACATGTCTGTGTCCTTTCACAGTATAAGCACTATTGTCATCACGGCTCTGCACCGTATTTTGAGATTAGGTATTGTGATGCCTCAAGATTTATTTTCTTTGACTGCAGTTGTTTGGCTCACTTGGTGAATTTTATGCTGCCACACAAGTTTTAAGATTTTTTTTTCTAGTCCTCATGTTTGATGAAGATCACATTGACTATACCAGTCAGCTTAGTAGTTTAGCGGTTGTCACAAGATTGTCTGGCAATTCATTAATGCGAGGCTTTGTATCCTCTAGTACTTTTCAATTGATTTATTTAGTATTTCATTTTTCATCTTTCATCACCTGTTTAGGTTTATCTAGGTATTTTTTTAGAACCATTGTAAGTCTGTCTGACACTTCTGTGCCCAGTGCCTGTGGAGGTCAGAAGAGGGCAACAAATCCCCTCAGACAGGAATCACAGATGCTTGTGAGCATAAGTGGATGCTGGGAATCAAACACTGGTCCTCTGGACAACCATTCAGTGTGCTTATCTTCTGAGACACCTCTCTGGTCATCACATTTCTTTTTTTATGATTTGGCAGACATCTGAGTTTTTTCATAGAGTATTCACAGTCTCTTAAATATGGAATCCTGCTGTCTGTACATTTTCTTCTTGCTACCTTTCGTGTTTCGTTTCCTTTTCTTGCATTATTTCTCTAGCTAATGTTTTATTAAGAGGGAGAGAGTGTGTACTCATATCACTTCTAATTTTAGAGGAAATATTTTTAGGGTTTTATTCCATTGGCTTAATGTTCACTGTTGGCTTTATTATGGTAAGTTGTGTTCCTTATAGTACTACTACTTTCTTCATGGTATTTACCATGTTCAATCTCCTCATAGACCCTTTCTACATGGATAAAAATGATCTTGTATTGTTCTTCTTATCTCCATTTATTTGTAGTATGACATTCTTCAATTTACAGATACTGAGTTGCTTACATCCCTCAAGTAAATAAACTTCCTTTCTGTTGGTGAAACCTCTTTTGATGCCTAGAGGCCACTTAGATATCTTATTTATTTCTTGACCCTTTCCAAAAACAGCAGAGCCCTACAAGCATATCCCCCATAATAAGAATTTCACTCTCAACAGGAGTAGTTATGTGATAGGAGCTTAAGTTCCACCCACAGTATCAAGGTGTAATAACCATCTAACAAGATCATGGAGTTGGTCTCATGATTCTTCCCTCTGAAGACAAGTAACATCCACAGCTCCAGTTGTGAATGAGTAGTGGTCCCACCCATATTTCTAGTCCCCTAACATATATATGATTCTACATGAACAAAAGAAACATAGCATCAAAAAGACTCCACTTTGGAAAAGCTACTTGGCTATGAAAATCTCTCAACCACTTTTCTACATAATCTAGTCACTCAGGGCAAGTCATAGAGGGTAGTTGATGCCTTTTGTTTTATTGGAGCTATCATACTGAATACTAAATTACTTTTCCAAGGTCTCTCCATTATTTGTTTAATTCAAGTATTTGGAGTAGTGGGTAGACTGATATTCCTTAGTACTTAGCCTCAAGCACAAGTGGTGTGGAGTTGCCAGTCCTGGAATGTATTCTGATAAACTAGTGTCATATAATAGACAAGTTAGAGTCACAGTGTCTTTGTTTTGTTGTTGATTGTCCTGCATTTGGAACATTTGCATTTACCAGACGAAATAGATAAATATCTTACAATATTTGTTGACTTTGTAACACTTCCTCTCAGCTTTCCTTCACTTAGAGGTGGCATGGAGGATGCACCTTTTGTTATAGAATCTCCTTTGATGGTGAGGTCTAACAGCATTTTAGGGAAGTTGAGAGGACGTTAGAAGAGAAACAATATTATTACTGAGAAAACATTATAATTTATTATAGTTTAACTTCCAAAATAAGTGAATTTCAAGTCTTTAACTTGTAAAGCTGTCAAAATGCATCTTATCTTTAAAAAGATTTTCATACATCTAGGAGGAGCACAAAAAATTTACAACTCCATCTTTTGAAAATGAAATGCTCTTAGTGAGGGGAAGGAAGAAGTATTTCCTTCCTCTTTATTCAAAGGAAAATACAAATTATATATTTTTTTTCTAATTTCTAATTAGTCATACAAATTTCATTCATGGTGTAGCAAAGTATTTCTACTACCACAAACTGATATATGGTATAGTCATGAGAACAACAGTATCTAAAGGCAACTGTAGTCAAATATCCAAGGCCTTTTATTGTTTAAATATTGTTATTTAATTGCCATGGCTACTAATGTCCTTGAACTTTGTTAGTACAAGATAGAAAGTTCTGTCCTAGTATATTGTTCTGAGCACAAAGATAGATAGAGTAATTGATTCAGAATGTTTACTTCTTCTTTCTAGGTCACCAAAGTACTTATTCACATTCTTGTGATATGAAGTTGTTAAATAAATGCATTCTGTAAAATAACAGGAACTAAATGTTGTTTAAAATCAGCTCACTTTTCACAACATTCTGTTTCTTGTTTTAGTCTATGAAGGGAAATATTTAGGTTGGTGAGCCCCAAATGTATTCAGGCAAATCAAATAAAAAATTTGATTTTTTTCTAACCGTTGGCAAAAGAATTTTCTTTCCCTCCAAATATTTTTGCATATGTTGTTAACTCTTCTGGGAATGATTTTTTCATGGGGGGAAGGTGGTAGCAAATTAAAAAGAATAAATTAGTCACAATTATTTGGATACTGCCTAAAATTCCGTAAAATGTATTCAGTCATTCAGAAAATAATTTTAATATTACAGTTCTATTAAGAAGACCTACACATTACTCCTACTAAAATATAAATGTATCTTATAAATAGATAAGAGACAATTTTGAAGTTAAATTTTCTAATCACACACTCAATAGTTTTGTTTTGTTTCTGCATTAATTTGTATGATTTATTTTGTGTTGTCTAAGTTATAATAAAATCTTAAAAGCCCTAGGAAACTGGGAAAATTGGTTGGTTAAATTCTTGCTTTAAAGGCATGAGAACCTGAATCCAAACCCTCAGAACTCATGTGAAAAAGGACAGCGTGGATGAGCAACTGAGAGGTGTTGAGAGCAGAACTAGTCTTCCTCAAGAAGAGTACAATGAGTGGTTATCCAAGTCCAAATAGTCAGCCCTGAAAACATGTGTGCAAATAACATACAGACTAAGCAGGTTATACTTAGGAGACAGACAGGAGAGAGAGAGGAGGAGAGAGAGAGAGAGAGAGAAAGAGAGAGAGAGAGAGAGAGAGAGAGAGAGAGAGGAGAGGAGAGAGAGAGAGAGAGAGAGAGAGAGAGAGAGAGAGAGAGAGAGAAAGAAAGAACAAATGCTGAGAAAAGAGGCAATGAATCTGTAAGAGAGCAGGAGGAGAATATGAGACGGTTTGGAAGGATGAAAAAGGAAGGAAATGACCTAATGATATTATGGTCTTATAAATATAAAAGAAATTAATTTTAGATAGGAATGCAGCTTTTGCAAGAAACACACCTGTGACTCTGATTTTAAAGACATAGAGATAGGTGAGTCCCTAGGACTAGAGAGCCAACCAGCCTTGCCTACTTGCCAAACGCCAGCTCCATGAGAGAATACATTTCAAAATTGAAGGGGAATGCACCTGAAGAACAGCATTCTAGGTGGAAAAAACACAAAGCATCAACTTAAAGATTGAGCTTATATTTACTAACTTTTTTTTAAAAGTTATATCTATTTTGGTCATTGTCATTACTATTACGTTTCATAGAGCTGCTATATTTGATGTGTTCAATCCAGTATTTGTAAAATTCTACGTTATTCTTCTGCATTAAAAGTCACTCAAGTCTCTGAATGTGACAACATTGAAAATACTTCAGTGTTTGTAAGCATTGAATTCTCTCATCAGCATGGCAGCATGTTTAAACATTAATAATAACACCTTCAAATCTGTTAATATTTGCACTTATCTTTATTTAAATTTAACTATAGCCAAGAGGAAAGTGACGATTCTACCTTATTTTAGGATGCATACAGATATATTGAAATTATTAAGATATATATGTATATATAATTGCCTTCTGAGTTTAATGCTTATCCATAAGGTTGTAAAGTCTTATTGAAGACTGCATAATTTATTGCAGCTAATTTAGGTACTTGAACATTTTATGAGACTTAAAAGGCCTCTAAGGCTTTTCACCTTGGGAAAGGCAATTGATGTTTCTTTCTGAGAAGAAATTGGTTTCCTTTAAGCATTCCCCATCTATTAGTCTGCT